CAAAGGTATTTCCCCAGCCAAGTGCCAGCCCAGCCCCTGTCAGCAGCTGCAGGTCAAGGGACGCAGCAGCTGAGGTGTTCAAGACTCAGCCTACGTGGTTTGCAATTGCCTGAGGTCTTTCAGCGTAAGTGGGTACTTGACTCGCATGGGGGTAAGCTTGGAGGGCTTGCAGACTGATCATAAACGATGGTAGCTAGCGCCATGCTTTGCTTAGGTTGTCTTGATGCCCACTACTACAAAACCCACCACGCTTTGTGATGATGACAGCAAACTTAGTGGAAAAAGTCATAAAACTGCATGGGCATCTACAATGAGCTAATGCTTCTTGCAATTTGAGTCATGTCTAAGTCAAATAGTAGGAAAACTGGGAAACACTTAAACTTCAGCAATTTCTGTTTTGCAGTTAAATAAAAAAATTGTCTATACCCAAAGCTGTAATAAATTTTTCAAACAGGGTCAAAAAAAAATGAGGAAGGTGTATTATGTACATGCAGTAAACAGACTACACTCCTAATTTCACTGCCATCCAAAAGATTATTTTCCATAGCTCTTTCATGGGTAAACACATGGAATGGTTAGAGTAAGCATTACTAAGAAACACAAAATTGCTGGTACAACTGTATACGACTATCTAAAAGACAAGCACGAATGTCTCAAGATAAAGCAGCAAGTGAATATTTAAATCAAGTGTATTTTTAAAAATGTTTATTGAAATGCCTTCATTGCATCATGCAGGATACAAAAATCATTATTAGAAAACCTTTATAACCATACTTAGGAGTAAAATCAAGATACATCAGGGAAAAATAATAATTATATAAACCAAAGTAATTTATTTCTGATAGTGTTTTAAATCATTAGATTACAAGCTGTGATCTGCACAGATGATAACAATTATCTTGCGGTAACAGTCCTTTCTTTCATGATTCAAGTCAAAACTGATGTTCATCATACTAGAGCAACCATATCACCTGTGTATACCACAAAAAAATTCAACCTGTTCATTACAGATACAGGGTTTAAAAAGTATAACAAAAATATTCTGCCAGCATACTTCTATTCTGCTTTCAGTTTTTTATTTGTTCCATCAAAAGCCATTAACTTTTCATCAAGGAAAAAAAAAAGAAGGCTAATGTGTTTTCTTCTATTACACAAACCACATAGCACATAAGTTTGATTACTGAAATAGAACCTCTTTAAAGTCGTATTATAAGAGACTTTCTTGAAGTTCAGTTCAATTAAATAATTTGTGTTTTTGCAATATTACTCAAGGGCTTGGAAGCAATTTTAAAATGGGAGACCACTGCACCCTCAGTATTTTTGTTGTTTGAGGAATCTCAATTTCTCCTACTTAAAATTTTCATACACTGCTTAGTGTAAACTCTTAGAACTTCCCTCTCTCTTTTTATTCTATTTGACAGCATTATTCTGTGCAGATACGCATTTTGAAAAAACTACCCAGGGCTGAAAACTTGGCTCCAAAGTATTTAGATAGGTAGAGATTTTGATACTGGCTTCAAGGGCAACAACGTTTGAGAGGTTTCCGTAGAGCATTCACTTGGCACAGAGTAAGATTAGAACCATGCTGGGACCTTACTACATAAAAGAAAATTGCTGTAGGGTCTAGAATCAGCTCGTTCTATTCAACAGGGAAGATTAAAAAAACCCCTCCTTATGAGGAAGTTAATACATGTGTTTCCATTCCATATTCTTGTGGAAAAATGCATCTTTATAAAGCTATCCTCTTTTTTTGTTGAACTCCATAGATGCAAACTTTAAATGTATAGTTGGTGTCACTGGGTGTTTGAACACACAGAATATCGCAACAATTTAATTTCTTTAAAAGTCATGAAGAGTTTTGGCACTGTCCCCTTGCAGAAAGTTAGGTACAACTAACAATTTGAAAACATTATGATAAGGGAATCGTATAACTCTTTGGCTTGTTGTAATACTTAACTACTAAGGCAAGAACTGTGTGTACCTTAGGGTTGCTTTTTTGTTTATATTTTTATAAAATACTTGAGTAAAAGTTTTAAAAAGTCACCTAATCATCTATAAATGTCAAATGCTGCATATTAAAATATATGCTTATTACACCTTTTTGTTCCATTACTAAAATTTTTGCATACTGATGAGAACACACACATTTGTAAACTGTTTAGTATGAGTTTATGAAGACATTCTCCATAAAAGAGAATTTGTGGAAAGTTACCATTGAATCAAGATGCTGTAATTTAAATTGCCCAATTATCCATTTTGGAGCACTACGATTCTCTCAACAGCTTTAGCTCTTTCATTTCTATAAAGATCAACTAAAACAAGTAACAAGCCCCCCTTTTCAATGCATTTGTAAAACCGTCTCATTCCGAGGTTTCGGGTGCACATCATAAGGAGGACATTTCAGAGTATTCACTGGCTTTTCAGATTTCACTACACATGGCTAACTTCATATGTTACGTTATTGCAGTATGCCCTATTGCCCCCTTTTATTATAACATGAAGTGGGTGTAGCCTTCTGCGCCTGTAACAATAACATCCATCCATATCCTCATGGCTTCTGGTGAAGGAGCAACCATATAGTATATCCGGTCATGTGTCTTAACACTGAAAGTGAGCAACGGGTTGGGACTCTAAAATAAAAGAGAAAGAAGGATATCAAAAGAATGAAATCAAAAGCCATTTATTGGCACCAGCAGTAAAATTACTTACAGGGAGATTTACGATAGGGTTAAGGAGAAGGATAAAATGCAAAATGCTGTAGCGCTGCATTCTACATTGCAGCACCGGAAGCAGGGATGTGTTTAAAGTGTTTGCGTCCAGCATAAACACTTTTTATGACATATTTCCTCTAGACTATTAACACAGCAGTACCAGGCTCCAAATTGTTGTTTCATGCCCAAACATCTAACTCCCCCACTCTGTCCAGTGCTCAATACCACCTTTCACAAATCCACCTGCCAAGGATATATTCAGCTTGTTCACAGCTCATTTAAATTACAGATGAGAGGCAGGGGGTGCCATAAGCTGCGGGCACCAGTTAACTCCCTCCCTGTGATAGACACATACAGCCATCCCTTGATTTGCCGAAGCCACTGATTTCAGTGGTCTCGCCACTGGACTACGGAATTTCTCACAGCAAATCCCACGTGGGACCATCACTTGGCAGGTAGACGCTCTCTTATATCTGCTTTCATCAGTATAAAAAAACCCCAGTGCTAATCACTGATCTGGCTTCATCTTCCTCTTCCTCCACTCTGGGGTTTTTTTGATTGATTGTTTTTTTTTTTAATAATGTCAGCTCGCCCTTTGACTTCACAGCAGCTACCATACTTTGGGTACTGCCATATGATACTTAGTTAAAACAACAATAATGAAGTTTACCTTATATGCATTCTTTAGATGATCATAATAGACTTCTTCAATAGCTTGAAAATATATTACACCTTTTAATTTAGTTTCGTGCTTGTCTAAAATGGAAAAGAGAGAATGACTGCTGAGAACTGAAATGAACAGTACTTCAAGAAGCAAAAGCTTCGTTTGCATTTCCATATATGTTCAGCTGATAAGTAACTGGATTAACACTTCTGCTTATGAAAACCCACAGAAATCTTCAACCTTTCTTACTAATTGGTTGGTTTTGTTGAGATGCATTTCCTACTTTTAATACTTTTTTTTTTCCACCTGGTTTCCAAGGAAATAAGCTTTTGCAATTTCCTCATCTCTTTGCAAGTCACTCCCTTCACTGAAGCATCTAAACATTATGGCCGGTATTAGCCAACAGGGTGATGGAAGGACAGATGTCTCTGAGATACCTCCCATCTTCCAATTCCATGAAAGCCAGCCAGACTTCACATAGCTCACAGGCTAAGACCTACAGTTTGCTTTCAGAGGAAAACTGTTACGATAAGCAAATTTGAAATATAATTTGCTAACAAAAGCTTTACATTAGAACATCATTTGTGCTTGTACTTACTAAAAAAATGCTTCTTCCTGTTTATAATAATCTCCCTCAGTCTCAAGCTAATATTTTTTATTCAAATGTGAGGTTAGCAGATTCTAGGCAAAATCCTATGAGCTCTGGAAACATGGAAAGTTTCACAGGAAGTTAAAAGTTCCTGGGCACCAGCTGCAGCATCATAATTGTCTGTTTGCACTCTCCTGCTCCGACACCCAAGGTAAAAGCCAAATTAATTAGACAGAGTTTGCCCCTGTTGCGAAAGGGACCTCCTCATTTGCTTGAGAGCGCCCGAGGTAAGAATGCCTGAATGGATAGTTGCTCCAGGGAGGACAAGGAGTAGGCTGTTACCCCGTGGTACTGTGTTTCTGGTACCAATATCCCACTGCAGCGAAGCTGAAATACCGGATGGGAGCCTTCTCACTTAAGTTTTGATATGTACAATGGAGACACAGCTGACTTAATCTCCCTTTAAAGGCAATGAATAAAGAAGCAGACACTTGCAGAGGGTCAATTCTAAACTATTTTAGACATCTTCTGATATTGCCTTCTGTCCCAGAATTAGCTAGTGAATCACTAGGGCAAGGAGGATACAGACTGTGAACTTAACATCTTAACAGTCACAACTGTAATGTTTCACAAGAAAAAGGAACAGCATGGATAAGCATTTACAGTACCCTCTGTTTTCCTGCAGTGGGAGAGAAATTGTTAAATAATCCCAGAGGGTGTTAAGAAGCATCACAACTGCGTGCGACAGTGAAGGGCAAACTTCCTTCCACTCCCAGTACTTATATATTAGGGGAATATAATGCCTTCTGACCCCAGGTTAGTATCACCTTATCACTGAACAGTCATGCAGAAAATATTTGTCAGTCCCATGAGAGATTCTGCTGTCATTTTGAACACTCATGAAACTCAGCTTACATTCTATTGGTAGCTGCAGGCGTTTCCAAAGCTTCGTATGATGGCAAAAAGAAATCCCAGAGACCAAATGATACAGTGTTGGGAATCTCCCTGCCAGGCCGCGGGGGACCAGTAGAAGTACTGAGGTACTAAGATTACGACATTATAGCACACATTATACTAAGCTAAATGCAATACTATACAAAGTATACTGTCTATGCAGTACAAGCAAACAGTGATCCACTCCTTTCACCTAGGGTCTTGGTTACAAGACCATTTCAGGTACCTTCAAGCTCCCATCGCAACAGTCTTTATGTAGAGTTCCCTGTATGCTTCAGGTCAGAAAGTGCAGATGCTTCAGTCGCTGCACTAAATTGTCAGACTTTAGGGCAAGTTCTTTGTTCAGTACACTTGCAGAAATAAAACAATATACCAGTATATTCACTTAGAGTTACTCTGAATTTACAGCATCAATATTTATTTTGGAAGTCTGCTATAGATTTAAAGATCTAGATGGATCCTCACTCGTACAAGCAGCTGCATTTTTGCGCAGCTGGTACAGAATTCTCATGAAACTATGTTTGTTGGCAGGAGTCCTTGAGACATTATGAAAAATTTTCTTTGGTAATTCAAATTGCATTATGGCAACTGTACTGCACTCAAAACCGAAACTGTTAACTATTAACATAACTACAAAAAAAAAAAAAAAGAAAAAAAATCAGTACCAGATGGGAACACTACTGTATGTTACAAGCCTTGCTAACCAATAAAGCAGATGTTAAGAACAAAATAAGAAAGTGTTTGTTACATTCTTCATAGTATTACTGCAAACTAATAAGAAATATTCAGCGGGTATGTAATGAATGAACATAATGAATTCAAATGTGTGTTTTAAAAAAGATGGACTGAGCAATGCATAACCCTACCATCAATTTTAAGTTCCTTATGAGTTGCTGGAAAGCAGTAATATCATAAAAGGAAATGGAACTCTTTGGGTGGTTTTTGTACTTGATGTTTTCTTCTGCTTCTTAGCAATGACCATCCTACATATGCCCCCTGTCTGGCCTCTCCTAACAGTAAATATTCAGAATACAAAGTCATTTTTCTGGCTTCCTCTGAAACTTCAAATTCAAACCATGTGTAGATTTGCGCAGCAACTGGAGAGAGATATGTGTTCTTAAATTCCAAATTTCTGGGCTTACCCCAAGATAACAAATTGATATAATGCTTATACTGACTCCAGATATCGTATAACACAACTTAGTGTACAGAAACCTCTTTAGAGTATTGCATATTGTTCATTTGAATTTCCTTAGACTCTTAAAATATGGCAAATTCAAAAAGTCTACTCCTATATACTTAATTTCCTGAAAGACTTTTCAGCACATCAAGCAATGGGACTGCAGAAGCATTCAATTTAATTTTCATGGCAAGTATAATAAATTATATTCTTGTATGAAGGGTACAAGAAATCACTCTGTCATTGGGGAAAGTATATAATATTTAAAAATAAATTATGTGGAGCCATTATTTGTGTACTAGGAACCTGATGATCTTCCATTTTTTCCTCTTGCCTACCCAACACCTCTCCCTTCATCTGTTATGCTCATTTCTGTCTTACCTGGCATTAGGATTGAATGCTATAGGGAAGGGATTGCACGAGCTCTGAGTGTATGTGCAAAACACTCGACAAAATGGAAATGTGAGTTTTAACTCAGAACTCCCTACAACAGCTGAGGTTGATAGGAAAATAGAGGGACAGGTGTACCCTAGTAGTGATCCTGCAACCTACCTGCGTAATAAGTAAAAGTTCTCTTGTTTCTGTCAAAAACAAACCATCGTTTTTTCCATGTTTTAATTTTTCCTCCCATTTTAATCAGAAAGCCTCGGCAGGTCTTCTCTGTGAGGGAGACATGGTAACAGGTCTCTATGTTGTGACCGGCTGTTTCGATGTGACTTCGTAGGTCAAAATCTTCCTTTCTAATGGGCAAATAGCGAGTCAAGGGACGGGCCTAGAGTAAAGAAAAGAAAATCATATTATTTTTAACAGAAGTCTTAACTGCCCTTTCACTCTTTCTGCTGCAAGGACGTAACTGCAAACTGCCCCTAGATTCTAAGAATGAACGTAAGAAAAATAAAGAGCTTTTGTGCAGCCCTAAGCTTCTTTAAAAGAAAAATCATTAGAACTTGTAACTTTACAAAGTGTTGGATAACTTTAAAAGGTGAGATTAGAGCATAGGAGTTTCTTGAAATCATCTGTTGATAAGATGGTAAAACAGGGGCCACAGCATACAAAGGTTGTTTTAGAATTAAGCATTAATTAAATGTAAAGGTGTGCTGCTGCTTTAGACGAAGTATAAGAACTTCATTTGCATGATGTTAAGCAAAACCTTTACTTCTCTGGGCTAGATACTCACTACACATCTCACTCATTAATATTTTACTGCTACAGGTATTGTCATACAAAGTATAATATAAATAATAAGAACATGCTATTACAGGAAAAATTAATAATGAGAGTGAACTGTAATTGCTAGTCATTTTCATAGAAATTGCTGTGAACAAAATAGAATTATTTTCTTCTGAACGAATTAGATGTGGTATCTAGTTCACAGTTGGCAATACGGTATAGAGGGCTGAATTGCATCCCTCTGCAAGAGGCAGCAAGGCAGCACGGGAAACGGTGCCTCGTTCTTGATTGCAGTTCAAGACTCTGCATCAAGCCCAGATAATACAAGTTGGGAGAACAAGCAGGAGGAGGTAGTGATTTGGGACCTCTGCCAGCTGAGGGAATATGCTCGTTTTCTGTGCCCTGAAGGGTCTATGCACTCCCCCAAAAAACGCCTCATTTTAAACACAGAAGACAAGTCTCCCAAGGCTCCTGCTGCAGTCAGCGCAGACAGAGGCTACATCACAGGGCGATTCAGAACAGAAGCTGAATTTAGGTGCTTTGAAAGGAGCATCTCCTCCTCTCTCTCTCTCCCCCGCCCCGACTCCAGAGAAGTCAGTGACCTGGAGAATCTAATCTGCCCCTGCTCCATGCCTAAAGTTAGCCTGTTAAACCCACTGTGAGTCACAAACCGAAGGGACTTTCCCTCATTGCATTCTCAAGACCCTCAGCGCAATGGGAGTTGTGTTGCCTGCAAGAACTCTTAGCACCCTTCTAAAAATTACGCAGTCCTGTATGATACAAGCTGGCACCAGCTTTGGCAAGTGCAAAGGTGGAGTTCCTTCCCCTAGTTCATGTTTTTAAGTGTCAGAAAGTGCTGAAAAAAAATTAAAAATTGCGTCTCACTGTACAAAGGAAAGAAAAATGTTAACAAAAAAGTCGTAGTCATTTTTGACAGATATGTTTTGTCTTCCTGGAAATTCAGTTCTTCAGCCTCTCTGCCAAGTCTGCCAATTAACAGTAACTGATAGCGCATTCTATTACAACACATGCACGCTTCAATTTGGGATAAAGATATAAGCATGACATCATTGTTTACACCATACTTGAGTTGTCACTAAAGTTTATTAGAAAAAAAGAAGGCATTCAAGTAAAGTATGTATAAAATTTAACATTTGGTAATTACATTTTATATAAAAACAAAGGAATGGATATATTTAACCCGAAACAGCTTGAAGTTCCTCTGGGATTGTCCTATTGTTCTGATTTACTGTTATCAATCAGAAAGGCAAGTTATGTAGGAATGTTCATAAAAAATATAATAGTAACTCATGAAATAAAGATTTAGCAAAGGTAGCACAGATAAAAGCAGAAAGATACTCATATATGATATGGAATCTTCTGCACTCAGATACTTATATTAAGATGGAGACATTGTCTTGCTCTACTATACTAACGATAAAATGACTGCCTAGTCTATTTGCTATAACATGTTGATCTTGTTATTTGTGGTGGAATAAACAAATAGGTGAGACCTCTGAGCCTAAAGAAAGCTCAAGGTACCTCTAAACCCTAACAAGAAGCAAGAAGATGTAGGAGGCAACATTGTTTTAGTTAAATAATGTTTCTCATGTTGTATAGTCCCAGTAATATTAGGAAAAATACGATTTCCTCTCTAGAGTAGATGTGGAGCTGGAAAAGCTTCTTTATCTGTTTTTTTTCAGTCAAATATTTGGAAGTGACAATTCACATTCCAAGATATTTTATGTATTACAAGAAAGAAAAAACAACACCAATCGTTTATAAACTTAACACACTCACAAATTCCTGTTGTTCAGGCTAAAAAATTCTGCTCTGCCCATACTCAGTAACAAACCTTATAGGATTAATATTTATACTTTAGATATAAGATGCTAAATAGATATCTATGTTATTATTTAACTTTAAATGAATACCTAGACATCTATCTAAGGCTCTATCTAAGAGCCCAAACATTCTTTTAGTGGCACAGTTACACCTCAGAAATACTAAATCCATCTATATTGGCAGAAATACACTTAGTCCCTTCTATATATCAAGGGGAGGTCTTGCACTTAAAAAACATTTCATGTCAATGCATCTCACCTGTGCTCTTTGTTTCTCCCTTATTTTGACTTCCTTTTCAATTAATTTTTGCCTCTGGCTAGTTTCTTCTTCCAATCTTTTCTCCAGTTGCTCTCTGCGGCGCTTCTCTTCTTCCAGAGCTCGTTTTTTAGCTTCCATCTCCCGTTCCTAAATACCACAGCACATGCAGAACTTCAATTATATGTGAAACTATAGCTGATAATGTAATTTCTGGTTAGGACTAAATCCCTTTTTGCCTCTTAAGTAGGCAGAAATATAGATTGAGCAAAGTAGACCGAGAATTGGAATCAGAATTGCAAATATTACCACTCTAGAAATTAAGGGTCTTCTTAAGCAGCTCTCCTAGCAGGTGTAGGAGCAATGCTGAGCTAGCTTCTGATGGGATTTTGCCATCAACTCACCCACTGAGATAGCAGCTATTGCATATGGCTTCAAAGATGTAGTATGAGGGTGAAACCAGACCAAACTAAGGAGGGAGAGGTTATTTTTTTAAGTGTCTATTAGGTGTGAACTATTGAGGATCCACTGTTGCATTTAGGAGGATGTTACCTAACTAAGGTGCCCACTCTTAGTTTTACTCATAAAATTATGCTTACCCTGGTCTCAAGCAGCCTAGTCTTTTCAGCATGCGCTTGTTTCAGAAGTCTCTCCATCTCTTCTATTCTTGCAACATTTGAAGTGCTAGCACTGCATAAAAAAAATCAGAGTTATTTAAAAGAATAGTTGGTATTTAAAGACGTATTTTACAGTCCAACATTAGACAGTTTAAGAATGGAGTTGATATTGTTCTGATCCAATTCAGTGCAGTAGGCACTAACAAAAAATTATGTATAAAGTATACAGTACGCTCTCAATGTATACATTGCCCATGCAGAGTTGTGAAAAAAGCAGACTCAATTGCCTAAAAATGCATCTTGTCAGTCCGCTGTGATCTGTTGTCTTCTTTCAGATAACAGAATATGGATGGAGGTGGTTACCATCTCCTAGCAGAACACACTACCGATCCTCAGAGCTGGCATTAGTAGCCATCTAAATATACCATTTAAGTCTTTCTGGCTGTAGACTGTCTCTGTTTTGTGTCTCACTGAGCTCATCATCAGGAAATGCTCGATAAAAATAAGGAGGATTAAGAGGTATGCATAAAGGCCATTCAGTGACAGAGCAGTGTCTGGAAGTTAAAGTAACGGGCAAGCCAAAGAAACAAGGGTAGTCACAAAGAGTGCTAGATCCTGGCCCAGCACAACACAGCTATCACCTTTGCCTGTCCTTTTTTCTTTTGTTTCTTTTCTCCAATACAATTTCTTTGTTTCATCTCAATTAACAGCCATTTCAACTGTGGCATTTGCATGGCATGCTCTCTATTTTATTTTTCATCTCACGCTGTTCAAGAAAAACAGCTGATGTTAAATATTACTATATTATCATTAATAATGCCATTAGACTAACGCACAACATGAGGAAATAGAACGGATTCGAATGTTTAGGGCAGAGAGAAACTTGACCTGGGATTGTACTAAAAATACTATCTGACCACTCAAGTGGAAGTGGGTGTCAGATGGCAGGTTTATTTAATAGCTACTTAATAGCATACAGACCAACTGCGAAGGGACACAGGTAGAATGGAAGTAGTCCAAATACGTGTCCTGGGCAAGGAAAAGAAAAAAAGAAAGAACAACATCCTTTGTTTTCTGAGCACGCCTCTGACGGTTATGTCTGTAAGACCAGGATTTTTGTCAGAAGTGTCACAGTCAGAAGATGACATTTCTCTCTCTGATACTGGGGATATGTTTCATGAGAGGATACAATACAATATAAAAATAACATACCTCATTTAACCTAAGCTTGCAGAAAAGGTATAAGCCATCTGAAATATATCTGAACTCTAAAAGCTTATAGTCTCTGAAAAAAATGAGGCCACTGACTTAGATGCCTAAGCCTAGGTTGGCCAAAGTATGTTTAATTGATGGGCCAAGAGAATCTGGGTAAAATAACTTCAGTAAAAGCAACAGGGCCATAAATTAAAAGTCATTTCAGCAACCTGGAAGATAGTTAATTGCAGTAGGTTTTCCCATATTAAACTGGTTAACGCTTCAGCTTAGATAAATTCTTTCATCCTTGAGTTGCTTATCCTGCTCACAGAAATTAATGCCTAGCAGAAGATCACAATCTCTGAAACCTCGGCCATGAAAAATAAGTTGCAAACTAATCTTGGAACAACTACTGATTGGCGAATTAATGAATGACTACAGCGGTTCTGTTTCTTCTGTACTTCGAGCACAGATTTTATGCATTCCAGCAAAAAAAAGTCTCTCTTACCTTATACAAGGTTAAATATAACATAGATTTTAAATATATCAGAACAAAGCATCATAAATTGTTTTTCTCTGAAGTCTGGTATGGCTAGAAAAGATTCTCAAACACCATCTAAACCAATCTGAATTCATCTTGCTTAAGGGAAGTTTCGTCAAGGAAAATTAACTGCTTGTCTTCCAAGACTTATAAAAAAAATCAGCCCATGCTCTTTTCTTCCCTCACCAATCTTTGCCTTGTGAGAAACTGAAATGTCTGTTGTAATAGGTCCTTTTCTAGTTTTTGGATTGGTTTGGTTTTTTGGTTTTGTTTTTGGTTTTTTTCCTGGTTTTTGGATTGGTTTGGTTTTTTGCTTTTTTTTTCTGGCATTGGCTGGAAGCTGCAGAAGAGCTAGAGGGAGACAGATGGGCAAACAGCATCAGTGAAATTCAACAGCCGTCAGGGCTCCCCAGTCTTGGGCTGGAGATTCCAGGAGGTGGCCTTGAGGTAGCTCAGACACATGCCATCTTCCTCCAAAACGGTCAGAGCAGCAAGTCAAAAAGAGACAGATTTCATACCACTACCATGCTAGATTACTGCAGAAATAAGTGTTAATTCCCAGCCTGTCTCCAGCTATCAGAAACGTGCCAACTGTGTATTTATTCAAAACAAAAATCCTCAAAACCTGAGTCCTAATGTTTTTCCTTTAAAAACAAACAAACAAAACAACAAAACAAACAAATAAAACAAGCCAGCAGAATCACTGCCACTGGTATTTTCTGAAACCCTTAATACTGCAGTGATAAAGACTACAAAAGGAAATCAGTGGGCTGATACCCTGTTACAGGAAACAGATGCTGAATAAAACACATGCTAGCCAAAAAAGCTGTCCTTGTGTTCACAAGGGATTCTTAATCCCGTGACAACATTGTTCTTAATTATCAGCCTCCACTTATACTTGTGAAACTGCTGGGGCAGGACTGTGCGCAGAAATGAAAGCGCTATCATTAAAACCAGACCGTCAGAAGAAAACTGCACACAATTTTGAGACTCAGCTGGACTTTTCTTTTAACACAGATCATGGATGTTCCTTTTATCTGAGAAGCGGTGTCTGAGGATGAGAAAAGCAGCTGGGGGCTCTAAGCCTTTCAGTGTCATCTCTTCGTTTTTACTGACCCAGAAAAGGGAGGGGAAAGGGCAAAAATAGATGGCCAGAGGCACCCTAAGTGCTTCAGTATAAGGCTCTAGTAAGTTAACATGCTGGGCTTGCAGAACAAGTGTACTTCATTGCCAACAGATATCTTTGAGAAATTTCCTGTCACAGGAAGTCTCTAGTGACCAGGGAAGGAAGCTCAGGTATTACCCACTCTGCAAAGAGCATCAATGACTTCATCATTTCAGTTCAGGACTGACACTGATTTCTCTGTGGCCTTCAACATTATCACTTAGCCTCTCCATATTTTTATTTTCTATCTTTTAATAAACAGGTGAAATGATAGTTAAACCTGATGATGAAGGGCTACACAAATACTAAATATTATGCCTGTCTATTGATCTTGTATTTTCTTAACCAGTTAGCAGCATTCACATTACCATAGCATCAACATGTACATATTCTCTTTTTTCATTATAACGCTATGACCATTACAACATCAGAAAGAAAGATGATTTACCTGGAAATGTTATCTGGTGAGCATGCCGATATGCTTGTCTCCATACTGTCAGAACTGTCTAAGCTTAGTGTATCAAAGGCATGGTCCTTGTAACTACGATCTGGGTAATGGAAACTATTCAAATACACATTCGATTCGGATGCTGTTCTGCTGTAGAATTCAGGAGACTTCTGCCTTTGGTTTTCACAGATACGCTGGTGGTTATACCCTACAGAGTACAGAGGAAACATTTATTTTACACAGAAATTTTGTGACCCAAACATAATGAGTTAGCAGCACAAGCATTTTGAAACATCACCTCAGTCTTAACTGCACTGTGACCAAGGTACTACAATATTACGGTTAATTTCACAAGTTAATAATAAATGAAATAAAACCTTTAAATACCTGTTTTATCTATGATGGACACAAATATATGCAGATTAGCATGGCTGACTCTTCAATATATATTCATGCACGTGTATTATGAAAATTTAATTTGAATGAATGAAATTTTCATTTTAAAATGAAATTTTTTTTTCCTGTCACAGGAAGTCTCTAGTGACCAGAGAAGGAAGCTCAGGTATTACCCACTCTGCAAAGAGCATCAATGACTTCATCATTTCAGTTCAGGAGTGACACTGATTTCTCTGTGGCCTTCAACATTATCACTTAGCCTCTCCATATTTTTATTTTCTATCTTGTAATAAACAGGTGAAATGATAGTTAAATTTTCATTTTAAATTGAAAATTAGGCCTAATCTGGAAAGTAATGCAGGTAAATTCAGGGATCTAGAACAACTGACACTGATTAAATTAAATAAAAAAAAAAAATCCTGATATTCAATGGTCTTGAGTACTTGTTTGGTTGATTTTACTGAACGTGGATTATTTTTTGTCTGTTTGGGGAACTTTGCCTTCTGCAAGTTGGGCTTTTAGTGTCAGCTGAAATTATATAGGCTACTTGTCACATCATCATAGTTACTAGTGTAGAGGTACTTTCCTGGAGTTTTGAAACTGCAGTTCACCCTACATGATTGAAGCAGATCCCTATAGCTCAATGCTTGTAAAGAAAAATAAGGTTTACGTAACATTTAAGTTCTTTGCGCTGTTATTTTTCCACAAAATCATCCTTTCTGAAAAACCATCCTTCTTGAACACATGGAACTTTGTTTGGCTACGTGTCCTTTAAAAATATTTATTCAGAATTATTTTTATCTCATGTCTCCATCGCTCTTTGTAAATAATGCAGCAGTATTTATGCAGACTCACAGTGAGGTTGTTGAGCTCGCCTGATGAAATGGAGAGTATAATGACAGTTGTCGTTTTAACTGTAAGTTATTTTACAGTGCCCTTCTAAAGTTTGTTTACTCTATGTGATTACAAATGCAACTGCACTGTTCATCTTTTCCTTCAATAAACGCAAGTGAGACTTTCTCACAGTTCTGATACTCAGTCAAGTTTCTAATACTCTCTGCACATGCCTGACCCAAAATCTGAGCTGGTGGCAGAGTTGGAGATTAGTAAGGACTGTTAGACTACATGAAAACCTCCCATTTGTACAGGAAGGCAGCCACTGACATTATTTAAGATAAACAGACACAGGAAAAATGCAGACAAATATACAAATGCAGCAAAGTCCAGATAAAAATTTTTACTAGACACCATTAAGACACTGATGTTAGGAAAACATGCTTAAAGTGGGAATATTTTCTTGCCTTATTCTCATTCTCTATCTGCACATACAAGGTTACTGTCTGGTATTTTTTGCCATGCCGGAGGGGGGAGAGTCCCAGTTCAGGGAGCCAACAACTGCAGTTCTACCTTGGAAAGGCTATAATATTCTCCAAAAGGTATCTGAAAAGCATGACTGAAGCTGAATAATTAAAGCATATTATTAAGGAAATCATGCCCTACAAGCATTTCCAAGGTTTCCCCTTTCCTCCTCACTTCCCTCTGTACCATATAAAGGTTTCTCACAGAAAATTGAAGCTTTGAAGCTGGTTTCTAAGGAACTAACAGGACTTTATTTGCCATTTGAAAGAACACTAAATTTCAATAAAAGTTCAATTGCACCGATTAGTAAAAGAGACAAAAGGGACACAAATACACCTCAGCAGTCATAGATAATAGCATCACACAACACAGGTGTTACTGATTCACATGTGCAGTTTGTTTTTTTCCCCATTATTATGGCAAACGCTGCTGTTATTGCAGATAAGCAATTACCTTTCATACTCGAACCTTTGGAATGACTAATTGCTCCTGTGAAATGGTTATCAATTATTCATTATGGAAAGAGAGAAAAAAAATAAATTACTGAAAGAACTTTATTGAAATGCATGTTTTTCTATTAAACCCTTTGCAAAACCTCGACTAGTCAGAAATCTTAATTTCATATCTTATATTTCGCTGAAAAATAGACCCATCTAAAAAGCATAAACACAGCAGTTCTAAAAGTGCTCTCATAAAGGAAAGTCAACTTTCCATGAAGATAAAGAACCCATTTTTAAGTAAAATATTTATCAGCTAAATTTATGTAATCATGCAAACGTAACCAAACACTGCAAGAAATACACAGTTGTTAGGTCGCAAAATGAGACACATTCACAGAAATAAAGCATAACGTGATGTTCTCATTTTCTCCTCATGCCGTAAGCAACAAGCAGTTCAAAGCTCAGGATCGGCTGCGTACTGACACCGAGAAGCCTCACAACCAACCTGCCTCCATTACAGCCCCACTTACACATCGTGCAGGCACAATCTGTTGCTTAAGGAATTTTTAACTGCTAAGGTGCCTATTCACAGAACATGCACTTAAAAATATTAGGCTCCTCGTAAAATCCAGCACTTCACTAAAAGTTTCCCACAAGCCAAGACTTGTATCAGCCAAGTTTAAGCTGATACAAGAGCTAAAATGTTTCTTGTTGCATTGGCTTGTATTCTCTGTAGTAAAACAGTAAACACTGTTAAGAGCCATACTGTTGAGCAAAATATTGCAAATATCCATAAAGCCATATCATTAAAAAAAAATCCAAAAGGGTTATTGCAGAATCACAAAAAACAGATATACCACCACAAAATTATGGTGAGGTCAAAACTATAGGTGAAAGCTGTTATTAAAAGTGGCACTGTCAAGTATGTTAAAAAAATAGTACTTCATAAAAAAGATCATGGTACAACATTTTCTTTTATTTCCATTCTTTCTTCTTTTTTTAAAGATTGACATTAATGTGTCAAGATACATTTTTTGTATGGAAACATGCCAAAGTAGGAAGCCCATGTCTGCCTACCTTGTCATTGTCACCCACAGATCTGCAAAGATTTCTAAATTTTCTGCTCTATTTGTGTGGCTATGAGCAAAGAAGCAAAAAATTAGGCCTGCACAAAGCTGCAGCTCTGCAGATACTAGCATTAATCAGAAGTTTTGTTGTGACAGGTTATTTGATGGCAGGAAAAAAAGAATTTTTGAACTGCTATCATTATTTAACAATTATTTAAAAGTTTTCCAAGATTTTGGGAACAACTTGACAGTGCTGATGCAATCGGTACTTTTGCCGAAACATGACAATGATAGATACAGCCAGATAAAGGGATGTTTTCATACCTCTTCTGGCTTTTCCTGAGTTCAATAAGAGAAAGTTAAAAAAAAAGAAAAAAAGCAAACTGCTTTGAAAAGCTGATAATTTGTTTTTACATATATACCTTGCCCTCAGTATACTGGTTTTCTGTAGAGCTTAGAAAGAATACAAGTAACCATCTTGCTGGTACCTAACTTCTCTGTCCCAACAGTTTTGTTCCCAGCACTGTGTCTGGTCTTACATCTTAACTCGCAGATGTAAGTTCCCTCTTCCCTTCTGGAGTCCCTCCTGCAATCAATGGGACTGAATTGTCTAACCCTCCCTCCTCGCTCCTGCCTGTCCCTGCGCAGGCTTCTGGCACCCAGCACCCCACGGGAGCTTCCTGGGGCCAAGTTTCAACCTGTGCAGAATGAGGTCTCTAGGCTGTACCAAACAGCAGCTTCTTCATTCTTCTTTTTGCACATGATTTGCTTACAAAGGCATGTACACAGGAGGTGAATTTATAAATACAGTCCTTCAAAAAATACCTCCTGAATGGCTGCTAAGAAATAGGTTTTTCCACTAATGATTTAGATCAAAGATGCGTCCTCTTAAACATTTTATAAGGTGCTCTTAACTCAGGCTATGATTATTGACAGTGACTGTTTCTTTCAAGAATAATTCTTGAACTCACATGACTGACTAAACACAGTTTTGGTAATCCTACAATAAAGACTATTTAGTACTTAAAAATCTTTCCTAAAATATTTCCTACTGGATCTGACCTACAATTCATTCATAGACATTTGTTCCTGCACAAAGACAAAGAGATTGAAATCCATGTTCAAACTGAAGTGACTGTTCTTCGTTTCCTGACTTAATTTTTTACTTTGAATTTTTTCATCTCAGACTTTTACATTTACCTTCTTGGACTGAAATTAGAAAAACTGGAGAAAGCAAATTAGAGAAAACTCATTTTATACCATTACTAATTTAGGGATGATTCTTAGATTATATCTTCCACTTCTTCCTCCAGGCACCATTAAATATACTTTTTTTTCAGATCTATACGAACACACCAAACGTCTGGCCTCAAAGTTTGCTCAATGCTTTTAAGCCCTAAGGAATGTGATAAGCTACTAATACTGCTTCAGAACCGCATCATCCTCCTTGTATAGCAGTCTGTGGGACACTGCGTGATAGCCAGTGCTCCAAAGTGGATGACATGGCATTTATCATGTGAGACCCTGGATCTCCACTGAGCTGAGCACACCCAGCTCCAAAGCGCTTGGTGCAGCTGTATGCTCAAGGTGTCAGTAACTCGAGCCCCCCCATGTCATTTGCAATACATCACCTTGAACACAGAAAACTGACGGAGTGAAAAACCTGTCAAGTGGGAAAAGAAACGCAAGGAAAGCAAGCTGTGATTTAATACATACGACAAGTCAAGAACACTTTTTATCTATCCATCACCTATTTTAGGTGAACAACTTATTTTTGGAGCAGGAAAAGAAGTGAGCGCATTTTTATCAATATAAGCAGTACCTATACATTTGCAGAGTTCCACTGATTTGGTAGAAAATCTTACTCCTCCAAAATATTCACGTAGTCCAAAAAGGCAAATCTGATCTACCTCAAGAATGTTTTTGTAAGAAACCACAACAGAAATACAGTGTATTTATTATCTAATAAACATTTATCAGAGAGTGATGGAATAAAAGAACATCACGAAGGATGTCCACTGACATAAGATTTGGCTTAGTTTTCAATGATGTATTTAAGGGTGTCTGCTGAAATTAATCTTAGTTACACAGACTCAAGTCTCGCTGATTTTAGTGGAAGCCACATAAGATTTCAGAATTTTAATTGACAATAGTATTCCATTTCAGTTGTACTGTGTGGTATGTTTAAATACTACACCATGTCCAAAACATCTCCCAAATCTCACTGTCCCACAGAAATGCACGTCCTTTACTCATGACTTGGAAGAAAAGCTTGTTTTTCCTCCGTGTGCTGAGCGTGGGTATGATGTGCTCAGGGAAACCAGAAATCACACCAAGTTGAACGCAGACCCCTCCCTGCTCGTACCATGACATTCATTAAGGCTATGCCTATAAGGCTGAATGAAAGATGCCCAAGGATTGTTCCTCCAGCCTGGGCTGGCGGCTATCTCACAGCCTAGGGCTGTTCCCCTTCAAAACCACATTTGTCGTGGAACAAGCTAGTCGGAGCAGCCCAGAGCAGTTTGGGGGAGGGATGCTGACAGACAGTTACGCAGTGTGGATGATCACGTGTGTCCAGCACGCCCTGGCCCTTTTGTATAGCTGGATAGAAATGCTCTACGATCTGATTCTAGCCACCTGACTTGGACATCTCTTTCCTTGCTGAATTCTGCACTGCAGTGGGATACCTACATACCAGCAGAAAGAGCCACGCAAAACTTTTGTGGTGTGTTACTGAGACACAGAAACGTAGAAACCAGGGCACTTAAGAGCAAGAGAAAGCAGTTATACTCTTCAAGCTCCTCCAACAGCAAGAAATTCATGGAGTTCCACGTTGAATGCAAAGGGAATAAACCCTTCACTAATTACTAAGAGAGACAGTCAAGCCACAAACAATCCTTGCACTCCTATATCCTTTGTGTTTTGACTCTCTCTCTTACTTCGCAAATCCTGTGAAAGTTCAAGTAAAGCACCTCTCAGCAGCATCATTTCCCTTTGACAAAGCTGATGTTTCAGAATAGGCCATCTAGAACTGTCCTCTTTCCTAGTACAAATTAATCCTGTAAGGCTCTCTTCATAACTTAGTATTTGCATTCAAACTGTTGGATCTTTCAAAGAATAATTGTCATCACCTAGTATGGCAGGCAGTATAGCACACATGATTCTTCATGGCATATGACAAGTACTGTGCCAAGTGCCTTAACAAATAGATCTCTCATTCTCCCTTTTTCTTCTTTTTCAGTTTTGGTTTGTGGGGTTTTTTTCTTTCTCACTCTTAAGTCAAGAAATCTGCCTATACTTTTAAGACTTTCTTAATTGCAGGCTGACAAAAGAAGGAACATTAAAACTTACCAATTTATTTTTTAAACTCTTATCTTTGCCTATATTAGGTTTGGTAACACTTTGTAATTTTGTTTTAGGTCGCACACACTAATGCTCTTTTGCAACCATTTTACAGAAATATTTCCGATTTTAAACACGTGATCTCTTGTCATCAAAGTTTAGCCAAACCATCCTTACTGATTTTCAAACGGAAACAAAGTGTTTTCTGCACAACGTATGAGTAAGAATGTACTTGCAAGAATTCTACCCTTGCAAACGCATTACATCAAAGAAGCTTTCCAAGCTGAGCATGAAGCTCCTTTTGTATCACATCCGAAATACTTCAAGTTAAGTTAGCCACAACACGGAAGGTTTGTGGAAGGCCTGCTGCATAACTAAAGCTCAAAAAAACCAAATCACAACTGGATCAGCTCTATAGAGTGAATGTAGTAAGTCATAATCCCTTCTCAGCAAGCTTGTTCCATCCCTGTATTGAGTCATCTTGGTGCGTATGGCTGACTCAGTCAGGCTCTTTGACCTTTAACAGCTGCTAGCTCTGACAAGTCCTATAACAACAGGATGGATCCTATCTCAGCTCAGGCTTAGCCTGTGCAATTCTACATAAGGACCTCTGACACGTATATTGATAACAATGCTGCAGATGCCGGAAGAAAAAGAAACTGACAGATGGCACTGAAACAACTCCATTTGAAGATGGGACGCTTATGAATAATGCATCTTGTTAAAGCAGAAATTAAGTGTATCAACTCAAGTCAACAAACAACAGACACAGAATGCCATAGCCTAAAAGCTCATGTTCTAAAGATTATCCAGAATTGTCATGTCCCTATTACAAAAATGCATCTATCTGTCCATGATAAAACACCTCTCTCCTTTCCTATTTTGTAGCCCAAATATTTAAGACTGGTGACAATACACAGTTACAGATTCTCAAAGGTAACTCATCATACTGAATCTCTGTCTGAGGAATTACTTTGTCCAGGCAAAAATATATGCCCGTGAAAAACAATTTTTAAGATCACAACATGAAAATAATTATTTAAAAAAAAAAAAGGAAGAAAAAAGAAAGCGACATGTAATATCTTTAATATATTGCCTCAAAATCACTCTCAGAAATTACCCAGTTAACCCAATGTGTATTTTTCAACATACTTTTTTTGTTTACTTGATTATATTTGGTGACCGCATACTTCAAAACTACATGTGCGCCTATGTCATCATCTTAACATCTGATATCTGCAAATTGTATTTAGAGCTTGCTTTTTTTCACCAAGAAGGAAACTTTTTTTTTTACAGCACTGTTGATTATAGCAAGACCAGTTTCAGAGTTATTTTCTGAAAAATTGAACACTGACTTTAACAACAATGACTCAAATAAAAAGGTCTTACCTTTCTGCATCCTTCTCGACTCTGACTCTTTGGTCATGGTTGCCAGACAGTGAGGAAGTACGCTGCCACAGCTGTTGCTCTGTCCTAATGGTAAATGTCCCTGCAGGAAATTTTGTAAATATATGCTTAAAACTACACTTCAAGACTTTTTTTGTATCAGCAACTAATGGTAAAATAACTTGCTTTGTCATGGGTATCAATGTCACATCATATCAATCAGCCATGGATATTTTAGTTGCATACAGTCTCTATTAGACCAAAATGTTTTCAGATTAATTATCTCCACCTAGCTGCTATTTGTTGTCACAAATAAAGAGTATTTTCACTTTATAAACAACTTTGTCTTTACCATTTAGAGGCCTTAGGTAGGAAGGAAAACAACCTATTGAGTCTCTACAACGAATTTAAACTAAACTAGCCTGGAAATACAACCCTTGACATACACTAATCAAAATGCAAGATTACTATGACAGCATGGCATTTCCAGAGGACAGAATAGAGGCTGGGAATATGGAAGGCTTCATGGATATTCCCATGAATGTTAATAAACCCGAATTTCTTTCAAAGTCAATTTCAGATGTGAATTTAGGGCGTTACATAATGCTTACAGGGCTACCCAACCTTACCTCTAACATAATATAGGTTTTCATATAGATGTTGGAAGGCTATTAATAGCATGCAACTACGTACTTTAGATGCAATGCTTCGTCCAAGTGTAGAGCTATTGAAGTGCGGTGATACAGACGGAGTAGTTTTCTTGCGAGGTAAAGTATCACTCATGTACATGCATTCCCTGTGCTGCTTCTTTCGCTCTTCCAGATTTCTGAAATGCTTCAAATGTAATTTGTTACACAGTTTTGACAAAATGAATTGACCTACTTGCTCAGTTATGCTCTATATGGAATATACTGAAGGTGGCAGTCTGGGAACTTCACGGGAAAGAATGGAATGAAACCTAAAATACAGAGTACCTCCTGCTTCACAGTGCTTTCCAGGATTTCTACAAATACCACAATAAAATCATGCTGATTAAGAAAATACATTAGATTCATGTGCACATTTTGTGTACATGTCCCTGTACCTAATTCTTTCTTTTTAAACTCAAGTCTAGGGTACAAGTGGAATCAAATTACAAAGAAAAACATTTATTTACAAGTTATTCTAATGAATTGGTGGCTTAAAACTGATACAGCTTTTGAGGGGCATTGTTCAAATGTACACGAAAAATTAATTTAGGATTTCAAATGTAGCCACCTGTACTTTATTGCTGCAAGTCTTCTGACAGGTACAATGGCTCCTAAATGTTAGTATTTGCCTCTGCATTGTTTATATAAGAAGAATTTTTTTTCAGTAACATTCTGTAATGCATTGTGCTTATTTTTAAATGAGCAGTGCCTTTAAGTGCAACACTCAGCAAGCACGATCAACTTATGATCTATCGTATCACTCTAAAAACTTCACATGTAAATCAACTTCATGGCCACCATAACAAAAACAAACAAACAAAATAATCCCAAGTTATCAGCTTTGAGTCTGTTACCTGTTGTTGCCTGCGGTGTTTCTTAGCTGGCAGAGGTGGAGGTGTGTCAGATAAAGGAATAGGATCTACATGAGTAGCCATGACCTCAGGCCAATGGACTGATGGAAGTTGAGCAATAGAGCGAGGAGAAAGAGAGTGAGGAAACACAAATCCAGAACAGAGAGGTGATCTTAGCTTTATAGAAAAAAGAGAAATTACACACAGAGTTTTCTTTTTGGAATTGCTCAAAAGATATGGCACATACAAGCTGCAGTTCTAGCATTGTGTTTGTTGGAGCGTTTAGCAGCAAAGGGATGTGTTGTATTGCAACTCTCGAGGAGTATTTAGCTACCAGAAGCAGCACAGAAATGCCAAATGCTAAACCTGTTGCTGCCTTATTGCAACACAAAGATAGGTGGCTTTACATTCATAAGATTATTCCATTCCTTTAAAGGGGATTTATTCAAAATTTGCTATGGTCATTACAAAGGCAAAAACACAAAGAATGAGGAAAAGAAAGAGTAAGCTAGAAGACGCAGATTGGACAGACTCCGTGAAATAGCTAAGATAAGTAAAAGCTACCCATCTCCCCCAAATATTCAAGATATACTTCTTCTACCACCTCACAGGAAAAAAAAAAAAGCTACAAAACATACAAAATTAACACCTAAGCACCATTGAACGAGTAATCATTAAATGTGTCGACAGACCGTTTCCCCAAAGGTGCATGACATTACAGTGTTTGACAGGCAAAGATTGTCACTTATTGCTGCTTGGGTCATAAGCATTCAGGTTTTTTGGCCTTCGAAGTCCCATCTACACCATCAAAGACAGTTTACAACTGGAGCAGTCCTTCAGCTTTACTATTAAATTGTTATCTGACTTGGTAACTGGCAGACGGCAGTTTGCCTTAGGGTCAATTTGTTACATGTTGAATTACCAAAAAATAAAAAAAAAAAAAAAAAGAAAAAAAAAGGGCAGCCATGAAAGAACAATGCAAACAAAGGGAAATGTCTCTCAAACAAACCTCTTTATTTTGTGGCTGGCTGGTCAGCACAGCCGTGGAAGGCTCAGTGGCAACTGCTTCAGCATCTGTGGGGGGCTGGGTGGAAGGGGATATATTCGTGGAATTGCCATACAGCTCACTAATTTCACTTACACTGATATAGCCCTAAAAGGAGGAATTCAGAAGTTAAAAGGAGCAAAAGCCAAAAGACGTGCAAGAGTATTAATGTATCCAGTACGATGAAGGTTAGTTTAGAGTGATACAGCCAAATATTTGTTATCATTTAAATACTTCATCATAAATTAAATAAAATTATCGTCAAGCTTATCAAGTGTTGAGTATTTGGATCCTGAAAATTGTTCTTCATTTAAACAAATACATTTGTGTGATCAAAAAGCAAATGTACATTAAGTGACCAATAGAATTCACTAAAATGTAAACACCCTTTAGAAATTATGTAGCTCTTTCTCGGGAAAGCAGATTCGGGGAAAAGGAAGAACAAATCTTATTCACCCATCTTTTTATTTCTTAATTTTTTTTTGTCCATGTTTAAATAAAATAACTTACCCTGATTTGTTTCTTGCCTAACTATTAAGCTTGTTTGAGTACACCAAATGACTAACAGAACTGGGAAGAACTTACATAAGGACAAGCCATTGCTACTCTATAAATTACACTGACACAACACCTTCCATTTGCATTGTCTGGAAGTCACTTCTAACTTACCAGGAGACTCATGTAAGATGCTCTTAGTGGTAGCCCCATAGCCATTACAATTTGCCTCTTTTTTTTTTTTTTTTTTTTTTTTTTTTTTAAACAATCATACAGGAGGTGACGGACTGAGGAAAGGCACAGACATGAGAGTGTGCTTCTGCCTGCAGAGAAGATTTAGGCAGGCAGACTTGAGATATAATGGCAGAATACAATTATTGCATGTGTTCTGGTGTTAACTGAATAAATGTTATTTAAAAAATAAAATATGGATTCTAATCCATAGTGTATAGGATGCCAGACTGTAAGAAGTCAAATGTCCTAACTTCTTATCCATAGAAAACTAAGCTATGCAAAAGGAAGAATAAATCACTGCTGAAGCAATGTTATAAAAATGAGATACAAATATGCTTATTTTTTAAATCAAGATGGTAAGCTGCTTTTAAATTGAGAAGGTGTTGAAGGGGCTATGTTTCTATTACTGTACCAGCACACTGACATGCCAGTATGTATACTTCAGCAATTCACTAAGAAGCCACAGACTGCTATAGTATTTTTTCTTTTAAAAAATGCATAAATTTAGCAATGACCATAGAAGGCAGGTTGAAAAAAATACCAACCCGGTTATCTATTAGCATAATTTTCAATGTATTTTATCAGCTATTTCAAGCAGATACACAATTCTGGAAAATTAAGGATCATACTGTGAACGCAGCACTCCAGAAATAGGAGGCAAATCTTGACTCAGATACCATGTGATGAACTACTAAATGAGGAGGAGACTGGATAAGATACTAAAGTTTCCCTCCTAAAACATGTGGCCATATTACAGTAAAATAGAGTCCAGTGTGATTAAACATAAAACTTGCTTAACCATCTTGTAAATAGCCGCGTATCAGTAACCAAAACTTGGCAAGTCTATGAATGCAATATTGCATCATTTTTACAGATGATAAAAGCACCTTCACCATCACATGAAAAATTTCAGATTCACAACCCCAGTGGGGATTCACCACAGGGTTAGAAAAAAAGCAAACAATGAATGACTTCACTGTGCAATTAGCTCAGGCCCCTATTTCATTAGATTAAATAAATGGTTTCAAGTCAGATTAGGCATCTTTGTCAATGCTAAACTTTTAAAAAGCACTGATTTTCCTCAGTTACTTAAGCACTAGGATAAGCATCCTGCCTCCACGTAGAGCACCCACATAGAGACGTGAGGCCGCGTTACTCTCTGTTGCTGTGCATGCAGGGAGCAAGCTTCACGATGGATGGGAGAGTCACAGACGTGTGCTTTGGTGAGGAGGGGCTAGGAAACGTCAGACCACAGACTCGACGGATACATGAGCAACCGCGTGGTGAAATTAGCTTCTGGGTGCAGGGAGACTGTTTAAGCCTGCGTACCGTTTGGTGCCTGATTTTTAAAGGTGCCTGAACAGTCAGAGACAAATAAAACTGAACCGAGACAAACATAATGTCTGACAAGGAAAGGCATTTCTTTTATAGGAGAGCACCTATGGGGACACTGAGCTTAAAACACATAACCCGTGCTTTCTCATTTACCTTAGAGTAAGTCCTAACTGACTTCAATACAGTGAACAGAATGACACTGCTGAATAATCCATTTCAATAAAAAGAGTGTCAGGCTCACTTAATGTAGTTGCGTTTTGAAATATCTGTGATTAAACAAACCATTATGTGGATACAAAGACAAAAATCAGAGATAGCACCCACTTTCTAGTGAAAGAATGAACAGGTCCATCTCAAAAGAACAATAATGAAGCTTAGACTTGCCAGATGCCCTGGTGGGAGGTCAGATGTCCAGATCAGAGTGCCACCTAGGACACTGGAAGTCTAAGCATCTGCAACGTGGCTTGCAGTGAGGAAGGGTGCTTAACCCCACTGGCATGTGCTGGAGGCCACCCGGGTTCACCAGGAACTTCAAGCCCAAATAAGCAAGATCACGTTTCCCAGGTGCTGAGAGGACATGTGGTTCTTTTAGACTTCAAGAGCCCAACTTCCCACAGTGACACCTACATCGTTAGATGGGGCAGAGCTTGTTCAGGGCTTCGATACAAGCAGATCTGGCAAGTCCAGTCAGACCTCTTAAGCAGAAGTTAATGAAGCAGCCATATATTATAACTTCATGTTTATCTGCAATTTGCAGATTCATCAAGTCGAGTCAAGAAGATAAATATGGGGTGTTAATGCTAATATCGTATGTGCTGACTGAATCTTTGCAATGGGTTGTGGCTCACCTTACACTGACCTTGCTCGCGGACCTTGATGCTTAAAGCGGCACCCTCAAAGCTATGAAGTCTTGACAGCTGCAGGTAAGCTCTGGGTCTCATCATGCATTACCCAAACTAACTCAGTTTTTGCAGCAAGAAATATTTGACACCTTTATACTAACTATTCAAAATAGTTAAATAAATAGCTCGATAAGTATCTTACAAGCAAAATACCTTGAAGTCTTCAATTCAATGCTTTTTAAAAAGATCAAAATGTACAGTTATCATGCTTTACTGCAGAGCCTTAGAATGAAGGAGGGGAGGCAATTGTAAAATCTACAGTGCAAAAATAAGACTGAACTGTATTTGTACTTGGACAGAGTTATTCCTGGACCTCATTCTTCTTCACTTCAATGAGGTTTAATTGTCTATTTTGAGAAAATTACAACTCCCCCTCCATACACCCCTTCCCCCCACATAAAAATGATCATTTTTCCAGGGCAAGAGATTAAGGCGATACCAATCATATCTGGGAAAATGTCAAGAGAAGCTATTTTTGCTCACCCATGCATTTAGACTTCCATGAATAGCTTTACAAAGTAATTTCATCACATCTCAAAAAAAATTTATATGAATAGGACTTCACTAAATACTAGAGTGCTTTTGTATGAAGTGTTATTAAAAGTTACTTATGGTAAAGTAAAAAGCAGTGAATCTCTTTACCTCTTTTAGACTATTGGGACTGACAGGAAATCCCTTTCCTCCGGAAAGCGTGGAATATTTCTTTTCCAGATTACAGAGATTCTCTTTTTCCTGTTAAAACCCAGACATTTTATATTAAATACCAACAGCCATGTAGTGAAAATAAATGCTAGGTGTTTTCTTAAGCATGTAAAGAAACACGCTGGGATAGAAGGCTAGAAACTGCACAGCAGAGGTTCAGCTTCATCCACTTACAGCCGAACTGAACAAAAAACGGAGATACAGAATGAAGAGCTAGTGAAAGATTTTATTTAATAACCACAGCCAAACCAAAAGGTTTTTCCTTCAGCATTTTGCAATTGCTTAATGAACTAAACATGATTTCTCTCACGATTAAAAGCAAAACTTAAAATGGACGCGAAGGGTTCATGCCAGCTTCTAGTTAAGCCGATGTTAGCTGACCTAAGTTAAGTAGCTCATCTTGTGGCCTAGTATGGGCTTTTACAAGTCAAAAATTTGAGCTGTCTGTTCTACCAGGTGCCTCTGGTTGTGTCCTTGGAAGGGGGACAGCTCTAAAACCCTCTCGATTATCAAATGCCCCTAGTGTTTTCCCTTAGGAAATCTGCTGATTAATGACAAAAGATCTTTTTTTTTTTTTTAAAGGTTAATGGCTAGTATGGGCTTTTACAAGTCAAAAATTTGAGCTGTCTGAGCACACTTCCAGCAGCCACACAGGAAGCACAGGCTTCTACCAGGTGCCTCTGGCTGTGTCCTTGGAAGGGGGACAGCTCTAAAACCCTCTCGATTATCAAATGCCCCTAGTGTTTTCCCTTAGGAAATCTGCTGATTAATGACAAAAGATCTTTTTTTTTTTTTTAAAGGTTAATGGATACAAAAGATGTCTATCATGTTAATACCTTCTTGCTAACTTCTGCACAACTGATGCTTTTCTCGTGCTCTACGTTCTTTTATTCTATGAAACGCTCCTTTATTACACGCTAAAAATATTTGAAAGACAATAAGTACTTACCCTTTGCAGCATCATTATTAAGTTGTTTTTCTCTTTTACAAAATGATCTTGTTCTCTTTGTGCTTGTTGGACAATATGATTGGCTTGTTTTTTGAGTGCAGATATCTTTTCCTAATATAAAAAGAAAATAATCACAATTTACATGTTTTATTTTCAAAGCACAAGACAACCTGCAGCAAGGATCCTATTCATGAGAGTTCACTCATTCATATTAAGCAGTAGGGAAAAAAGTTTCTATGAGACAGCTCACTGCTCTGAAGGAGATAATTAAGTAAGATTTAGGCAGTAAAGAGACAATTTCTTCAAGAGACAAAACAAAAGAACAATCGCACATATTCTTTGATAATATGGTGACTAGCTTCCACATACTGAACAGAACTGGCTTAGAGATGCAACTTTTGATCTCTGAAAAACTGCCATTTCATTGGTTGAGACAGGACTTTTACAACTTATTTTTAAAATTATTTCTTTATTTGGTGTTCTATTATTACTATTTTAACAAAATCATTTAAAATCAATACCTATCATAAGAATAAAATAACTCTAGTTTTGTCCAGAATGTATGAATCTCCTTTCTTAATGAAGAAAAAACCAACACTTCGGTACTTTTTGTAGCAAATTTAAGGGTTTAATTTTGTATGCAAATATACAAACATGGAATTTTATTGTTTTATTTCCTTTTGGAGAAGTTCATGATTTGATATGTGTGGGATGTTACTGGGCCATCACCTTTGCTCTCCTGCAAAAGCTTTTTCAAAGAGGGAAGTTTTGCATTATTTCTTACAGATAGGCAGGTTGTAGATCCATTTCATCTCCTTTATGCTCAACAACAAAGAACAAAGGAATGGAATGTTAGTGCTTTTACCTTTCTACTGACAATGCTACGCTGATATTCGGCTACTTCACGCAGGAGCTGTTGTGTCAGATTTTCTTTCTCTTCATCTAGCCTGCTTTCATGTTCAAGCTGCTGAAATTCCAGGTCTTCAAAGTGTTTGCTTTCTATGTCCAATAGATCAGCATCCTTAAGCAAAAAAAAAAAAAAAAAAAAAGTAATCATGCTTACACCAGAGTTGATATACTTACAAACACAAAAATCACAGTCTAAAATGGTATTTCTGTACCTCATACAATATGTTCAAACAGGCACTCAACACTTTTAATGACCTACTGTCATAATGAGAGAGCAAATAGGGCTAATCATTATTTTGATGTTGCTTTCTCCATCACTCCTACTGTCCCCCCTGCTGAGGAAGATGAAGCACCTGCATGGTGAGGGAGCTGTTCTGCAGGGTTCAGAGCAAGCTGGAGCCTCTTAAGCAGTGAGCGCTGCTTAAGAGCTGCCCTGGCTGGGCAGATCACTCTGCCGAAGCCTAGCTGCGACACCACCAAAGCCTGAACCCATTTGGTGAGGCTGTCACATGCCAAATTGGGAGAGCATCTGCTTACCAACCAAAAAGGACAGAAAGCATCATCCCAGTAACACCGGAGAACTGCACACTGAATTATCTAACTGTGGGAATGCACACTCAAATGAAGGAGTCTGGACTGCAGTTAGAATTTCTTCAGGTCTAGCCCAAGTACCGGCACTGTTTTAATAACAGACGTACAGTCAGATAAGATGAAAGGTATGTGGAGCTGTGTGCCATCAGCGCACTGCCATCACCTCAGCAGCAATGTCCAACCATGCCAGTTGCTCAGCCAGAGGCTGCTTGCGGACCACCGAATTGGAGCTGACAATTGCTCTCTGTGCAAGCACACAATTAAGGACTCTAGTCGACTAATCAACCCTAGCCAGTGAGTGCATTACTTCAGAAAGGGCATCAGCCCACTTTTATGCATTCCCCTGGACCAACGCCAGGTTTTGTCAGGAAAAGAGGTTGAATGCTGCAGAAAAGACTCAAGAAACAAGAACACACCTGCTTCCACTTAACGATGACGAGATGAAACTTAAAGTGCTTTTCAGCACAAGAACTGAACCTTAATCTTTCTCCTGCAACATCTGTGTATTATAACACAAATGCCTACTTACAAGTTCCAGGCTTCTGAAGAAAAAGGGATTTTAAATAATCACAGTATTATTAAATGCTAAAGCTCTCGAAAATAGGCACATTATGCATAACCTGTTACATAAGAAAACATATATACTGTAAGCAATTTATCATTTTAGAGAAATGAAAACTTAGTCCTTTTCTTATTTCGACCTAAAAGTTAGTGACTGAGATAGGCAGATAGGTCTCTGTAAAGGCATTCAAAACCAGGTACTTCCAGTGTACCAGGGAAAGACACGGGATGCAGAAGCTGAACAATCCAAGTTACTATATGAAATACCAACATCTTTCCATTATTCTTCAGTGATGTGCCTTTCACTTGTCGGAGATAGTGAAGAGATCAAAAGCAAAGATGTGGGCTAAAAATTACAAGAAAGTGGTTACCTACAATACAGAAATGCTTCACTCAAACCAGTCAGCCATCTTCAGCATTCAAAACAAACAGAAGGGCTTTGCCTGGGCCATGAAAGTCAACAAATTCAGCCTATTTCATACCACATTAATTGCTACTGAGGCAGAAGAACAGACTTCACAGAAGGCAACCGATAGCCAGAAAGGCAACTGGTAGCCAGCTGAGCTCTCAAAATGCTGTATTTTTGTGAGATGCGCTATGGAACAAGAATTTCACCACATTCCGTACCACTGTGTCCACTGGGGAAAAATAAACGTACCTAATTCAAAACCAAGTCCATTTTCAACTTAGACACCTCCAAAGGGTAAGTGGCAGTACCTTAGCTCTACCAGTGGTTGCAAGTGCATTGCAGCGAGACCGCCAGCCAGGCAGACCCATGGGGACCGAGACCCCGGGCAGCCTGCGGCAGCAGGGCACCGCAGCAGGGGCACGAGGTCTGGCTCCGAAATGTGTCCGCAGAGTCCTCACCATAACCTTCACAAGGATCCTACTCAGCAGCATAGGATTTGTAGGAGGATAATTGATGTCGCTGTAGGTAATGGCTTCCTGAACCAAGTAGCAAGTATACTCCCTCCCTTTTATTAAAACATCAAAATATTGTAACTTATAGTCTATTAACAAACAACAGACACAATGTTTCCATATTGGATTTCCAAACCATACATTTCTCTGGCATCTCCACTTCTGTAATGGCACTGGAGAAAATTTGATGGGAGATAACCTGGCCCTTACTTCAGGATGTGGTGGGAGGTCCATAGGCCCACACAACATCTGCAAAAATTAGGAGAATTTTAGCTGAAGAGTAAGGCGTTTCCTAGCACTGGACGGTGTCTTTTCAGGTCTCTGCAGGAATCCAGGCATCTATTCTCATTCTCCTTTTATGCGTATCTCTATATACCCAGGCACATGAGAACAAACAAGCTTTGGTGCTTTCATACTGACAGTGAAGGATGAAGTGTGCTAATTAACTTTAAATAAGCCATCAGGAAGCTCAGTGCTTTCCCTCAGTGCCTTCCACAAGCCCACAGGTTTCACCAGTCTCTGATGAAGCGTCCTCCCTGCCCAGCAGAGAGAGCGTATATTGATTACGGACACCGGGGAGCACACAGGGTGTGCCAGCTGCCCCACTGCCAACCCCAACCCAAACTCCAGAGCCACCCTGCAGCCAGCTGCTACAGCGAAACTGACTGCCCGCTCCCCTGGGCACAGGTTACGAAGTTACTGAAGTCCCAGAGATGAAGCAATAAGGGAATTCATAGAATCATAGAACCATAGAATCATTTAGGTTGGAAAAGACCTCTAAGATCATCAAGTCCAACCGTCAACCCAACACCACCATGCCCACTAAACCATGTCCCTAAGCGCCTCATCTACACGTCTTTTAAATACTTCCAGGGATGGTGACTCCACCACTTTCCTGGGCAGCCTGTTCCAAGGCCTGACCACTCTTTCAGTAAAGAAGTTTTTCCTAATGTCCAGTCTAAACCTCCTTTGGTGCAACTTGAGGCCGTTTCCTCTCGTCCTATCACTTGTTACTTGGGAGAAGAGACCAACCCCCACCTCGCTACAACCTCCTTTCAGGTAGTTGTGGAGCGCGATGAGGTCCCCCCTCAGCCTCCTCTTCTCCAGGCTAAACAGCCCCAGTTCCCTCAGCCGCTCCTCATAAGACTTGTTCTCCAGACCCTTCACCAGCTTCGTTGCCCTTCTCTGGACACGCTCCAGCACCTCAATGTCCTTCCTGTATTCATCACCTTCACACCTACGGCGTTGGCAGTAAAGCAGCATGATATAACCTGCTGCAAACTCAGGTATTTAATCCTGGGCTGGGCTGATTTGGGAGGGGAAGAAGAGATTTTCTATACCTTGGGTATGGTACTTACAGTAATTTCATAACTGCTCTCACACTTCATATCCGTTTGAGAGATACTGTGCACTAATTCAGTGATAACTTCTATTGCTTCGACCGCAGCAGCCACAACTAACTTTCACTACAATAGGCCTGGAATAATGCAATAGGACCAACTGTACGTTTAATGGCACCCCCACATTTCCAGTTTCGTCCCACTTTGAAATCCAAAATTGTTATTAAGCCAACTGGAAAGGAAAAAAAAAAAAAATTAACCAAACAGATTTCTAGAAGCCTCTCAGTGGTCAATAGTGAAAAATATTTTATTAACATCCCACAGCAACAAGACTGCAACTTCTCATGAATTTATACCTTCAAGTACGTGACTGCACAGGAATTGCTTCCTTTCCTTTTAATATGTATGAGAGATTACATAATATTAATTTTTTAATTTTTTTTTTTTTTAAATTTTTTTTTTTTAAGGTAACTTACAAAAATCCTTAAGTGTCTCGAAAACAGCAAACTTCTCCGCTACTGCAGAAGAATTTAACATTGTTATTTCCAAAGCTGGACTTTTTTACTTTTTGCTCCTTGAAAAAACAGAATTCTGCAAATAAACCAAAATCTAAAGAATATTTCCTATAAAGCAAAAGCGCCCTTTTTTGGTAACTGCTATTACAGATCTTATTCCTGATATAAACACTCAAGCCAGGAAAAAAAACCCCAAAAACAAAGAAACAAAAAACCCCAGACAAAAAAACAAACAAAAAAAACCCCATCACAACCTAGTTTGACTTTCAGATGGCCTCTTGAGCTTGCCGTACTGATGCTTTGAAAATTATTTCGCCCCCCCACTAAAGCTAGCTATATGTGCTGTAGAACCCACTTAACATTAATGAACACTAAAATCTTTCCACAGAAAATAACTGTACCTTCACAGACAATATTGTAGCTTTTTCAGTTACAAACAATACAAAATAAAATCAAGTTGCAATTAGACTTTATGCAAAGGTCATTATACCAATGGTTGTGCAACTGTTGAAAATGCAGGAAAAAATGAAGCTATTTCAATACGTGGTATAATCGTCAAAATGAATTTTTCAAAGCACAGTTCAGGCTAACAGCTAAGTTATAAACTGAAAAAAAGAAGTCGTCCATGGCTTCACTGAGACAGCCACTTACAAAGGAGGAGCGCACAACAGGATCAAACAATAGCGGCAGGAAAGTGCTGCTAAAATGGCTGATCCCACTGACCAAAGTTCAGTTCCTGTCTTTGCTCACACAGGTAAAGAGCAATGCTCCACCATCCATCTAAACATCACAACAGCTTCCACACCACCCAGCAGGCCTAAGGTGCTAATTACAGGCAAGTAGCCCAACACTTTAAAAACCTTTCAACACAAAATGATTTCTAATCTGCCCATTTGCACTCTACTCATTTGCCACCATGCACATTATCTATTACAAGCATTCCACAAAAAAACATAACTCTTGTTACTATTAACAAGTATAAGTTGCAAATACGTTCAGACACTTTGTTGGATACTTGAAACAGAATATGTTACACTTATCTCTATTAAAAAAAAAAAAAAAAAAAAGCCAGCAAAAAGTTTGTGCAATCTTGAAACTTGCTACTGACCCTCTTCAGCTGCTGCTGTAATTGTTCCCTCATGGACTCAGGGCAATTATCAAGCTGCGTCTTCTGCTCGGAGTAAAGCTCCTGAAGCCTCTCTAGTTTTTCCCTCTCAGCATCAAGTTTTAATTTTTCCTGAAGCATGAACCAGAAAATAAACACAATTACCTTCAAACCCAAGCAGTTAGTGATTATGACAGTGTGTGGCACAACCTTAACGAACAGTTGAATCACGTAGGTCAAAGACAGAAACCTCTTGTTAGTTGAAATGCAATGGTGGGATGCAAAATGATCAAAACAAAACATTAATCATTTTAGTGCGGTGATTAATTCTCTCCCTCGTCACTGTGTTTTGTACCCATGCCTGGATGACGCCATTAAAGCCCACTGCCTAAACACTCGTCTCACCTAATGGGGGGGAGAAAAAAAAAAAAAAAAAAAAAAAAGAGAAGAAATGAGGAAATGGTAGCCATGTTAGTGAGGTAACTGATGAAGGAGAGAGAAAAGAGTAGCTTTTAGAAAGCAAAATGGATGGAAAATGACTGTAGTGTGGCAGTGAGGGGAAAATGGATCTTCCCAGGAGAATGAATTACATGCCTATGTGCCTCTGTACATGTATGTATCTGTACATGTACAGATAAGTACATTTAGCAAGCAGTGAAAAAAAAAGAACTAGACAGAGCTTTATAAAGAAGTAACTCGGCCAGGAAATCCTGTTGCAGCAGAAACACCAAGTGATTTAGCAAACTAACTCATTTGCTTCAGGGTACAGGAACTGTAACCTGTTTTCAGAGATCAAAGGGGACTGCTCAGCCTCCCTGGTCTCCTCCAACTACTGCAGCTTTCCACTCGAGCAGCAGCACTCGACACACTGCTGCTCACCCTCAAAAGCCTTTAACCTTTAAACTTTTGTAATAAAATACTACATGATTTACTGTGCAGCACTGCTCTGAAGACTGGCTGTAGATCACTTACAACTACTTTGCAGACTATTATTTATCTATGGACCAAAGTTTGGGAACGAATAAATTGGAGTGCGAAGAATTTTTTCAATGCCTTTTACTTGCATCTACACTGGCCAACATAGCAGATGCATTTTCTTCAACCAAGCAGTTAATAACCGGAAAAAAACAATATGCCTGAAATGCCAGGCATAAATAATCAAGTGAGTCGCTGAAGCCCAGTGCTACCTTCTAGAGTCACACTGGTACAGTTGCCTTTTCCTACTTCTTGTTCTATAGTTATACATCTCCTCTCAGATGGTCTCTAACTCTCCTTAATACTCAAAAATTAACAGTATCAGCCCCAAAAGTTCAGCTTCTTTTGGATGCTCCAAGAACATCTAAATTCTGTCATGGCATCCACTCCTTTGTCCTCTTTCCAGTCCCAACTATTATTTAATTTTAAAATAAAATGCATGGCTCAGCAGGTGCTGTACGATCAGACCTGCAGCACCCTGACGGTACATGCCATAGAGAAGAAACTTCTTTTAGTATATAGTCATTGTATGGCAAGTATACTTGCCATTTCAAACCGTGGAATGGTCTTTCCCCAAAACCTTCTCTTTGTTCTCAAACCCTCACACATGGTAGAGGTGCAATAACAAGCATGTATTAGCTGCCTGCTTTCTTTATGGTTTTATCTCTAAACCCGAGTGGGATCAAGGGGCTGGGATTTCATTTTCCCAGTATTTAAAAACAACAAGAGGAAGCATTCTCATCCAAGCCCAATGTCAGCCAAATTCCCAGCTCTTTTACTTTCATTTACACGTGCAGCTTCTCAGCTCATACAATCAGATGAACAAAATGCTGAACACAAAAGATTATTTTATTTTCTTTAGCTTGTAAAAATGAGCAACTAAGCCAGCATATTCAATTACCTGGACTTCCTGTACTAGCCTCTGTCTTACAACAACAGCAGCAGGGCTCAGAAATACAGAGGATGTAGCACGTGCAAGCTGCACAATGAGGGAGAATCATAGAATCATTTAGGTTGGAAAAGACCTCTAAGATCATCAAGCCCAACCGTTAACCTAACACTGCCAAGTCCCACTAAACACATCCCTAAGTGCCACATCTACACGTCTTTTAAATACCTCCAGGGATGGTGACTCCACCACTTCCCTGGGCAGCCTGTTCCAAGGCCTGACCACTCTTTCAGTAAAGAAGTTTTTCCTAATGTCCAATCTAAACCTCCCTTGGCGCAACTTGAGGTCATTTCCTCTCGTCCTATCACTTGTTACCTGGGAGAAGAGACCAACCCCCACCTCACTACAACCTCCTTTCAGGTAGTTGTGGAGCGCGATGAGGTCTCCCCTCAGCCTCCTCTTCTCCAGGCTAAACAGCCCCAGTTCCCTCAGCCGCTCCTCATAAGACTTGTTCTCCAGACCCTTCACCAGCTTCGTTGCCCTTCCTTGGACATGCTCCAGCACCTCAATGTCTGTCTTGCAGTGAGAAGCATGCAACTCTTGAGAGGTTACCTCTAGCCCTCTGTCCCCAAGTGACCCTGTTTGCAGTGTCATCCTTACTTCCAACACGGAAGGAAATCTATGAATAAACTGGTAGTTCCCCTGCTCACAAACCTTGCTGTCCATTTAACATTCAACCTATGGTCTGCCACATTGTTTCTCACTTTCCTTTTCTGCCCGCCTAGCAATCTAAAGCAGCAAGGACTTCTCTGACATGAGCTGCAGTATCATGCCTCTGAAGCTATTAATAGCTCTCTAAAGGTCAACGCACTGCAACAAGTACGCTCCTTCATTAACAAGCAAGTCGAACCTCGAATGTGAGGAGACATCATCAGCAAGTATAAAACTCCCCGAGAATCCTACCAGAGATACTGTTACTTCCCTCAAGAAATTAGAAATGTATTCCTTTGAGATTGAAAGTGATACTCCTCTGTTCTATTTATAGCATAGGAAGTGCTAACATCCCACCAAACTGGCTCCCTTCAAAATGAGCAGTCTTAACAGGAAATATCACTTTCAGCAACGAGAGGCATTATATGTTTTGCAGCTGTGGAGTTAAGTGCGCTGACATCTCTGACTGTGCATTGGTAAAGTTGATTTAATTCACAAAAGTAATTTGATAAATAAATAAATAATCAGAATTTTTTCATACAGTCTCTTCTATAAATGGATGAAGGCAAGTTCTTTTAGAAGGGAAAAGATTAATAATTTTGCGAGCTAAGTGCAAGATGCAGCCGAGGCAGGCCTGCGGCTGACTCCGCGAGCTGTTTGCTCAAGAGCAGCCAGCGGCAGAGCTGTGAACAGAACCCATGTGCTCCAGCTGCTCATCCTCATCTTAACCGCATGAGCTTGTACTTGTTAAACATTTCTCTGCAGACAACTGCTTCTCAGCCCCAGCGTTGACTCCGGAGCCACATTAACCGTAGTGTGGCTGAATTCTTAACATCCTCTTTCCAGAGAAAAGAAGTACAGCTCAGTAAAGCATATCATCTGGTCTTAGCCTACTGCACAACTTGCCCTGTGCTCTGCCTCTAGATACGTGTTAAATGAACTTAGGGTCAGCCAGGACACAGAGCAGGACTGACTGGGTTTTTGGTGATGCTGGGGCACAGCTTGGATCAGTTTTGGAGGATAGCTGAATATCGTGAAGGCTGGCACTACAAAGAATTGACGTGTGACTCTGTCCCACAAGAGCACAGACACAGGATGTCAGCAGAGCATGGTTATGGTGTGAACACAGACCATAAGTGATCAACATGGGTCAGTCACAAAAGGAAATCAACCTTTAGATCTGGTAGAATTGATTTTAGGGCAAAGGGAGAGAAAAAAAAGAATATATATCCAACACATCTCATAGATGATGAGGACACAGAGGCGATAAAAGGACAGTATTAAAGACAATCATAGCCTCTAGAAGAATGGGAACAACAGAAAGAACGAGAGAAACCAATTGCTTCAGTGTTATATCCTGTGGTTAAGGATGCCCTATGCCTGATCAATACTGCTACTTAAAACCCCAGCAGGTCCCCACACCCCTTCTGGAGAGAAGTCATCCTACTTTTCAATTTGTCATTCATCACATTCTGCTACTGCAGGCAGGCAGGCTAAAATTGTAGAGCGGCATATGTATGTGCCTTCTGAACCAATCTTCCTGCATAAACTGGTAGACTCTGCAGAAATGAGTCAGAGTGAACATGGATGAAATAGAGAAAGCTTCTCAAAAATCCAGATAAAAATTGGAAAAAAAACAAAGCAAGAAACCTATCATTTCTACCAGGTCACTGTGAAATTGATTGTATGGCTAGGTGAATTGGGCTCAGTCTACAACCCTCCAACCCCACTCCACTCCCTCCCCCGCCCCCCCAAAAAAACCCAACAAAAAACCCAAGGTATGTGTTATTTTCAGAAAGAAAGAGAAACTGCAGAGAAACCTACAAGCCATAAATGAAGAAAAAAAAAAATACTGAATGCCTTGCCATCCAGCATGTTCTTATACTTTAAATGTTCCAGTCTGAAGTACCCCAGGATCTTCCTCAGTCCAACTCACCTGCAACTCATCACGTTTTAAGGTAGCAACATCTCATTACCCACACCAAGCTCCACACATGCACGCTCTGTCTCTCAGTATGGAATTGGCTAGTCTCACAACTCTCATAGGTTTCTCAGAAATAAGGAGAAGCACATGCTGTTCTTTGTTCTGAAAAGCTTCTCCATCTCATCTTCATGCTTTCCCCTCTCGCCAAACTTTATTCTTTTACACTCCACAGAAACACCCCTCCCCTTCTCCAAAATAATCTACTGCAAAAGCTAGAAGTGGAGGAGAAAGAGCAGACTACAGAAATGATTCCTTTTTCCTTGGAAGTGGTGTGATGCTACGAGTTTGTCCATTCAGTAAAGCATTTTGGAGAATAAGTGGAAGAGCAAGAAAATTTGACCTTAACAACTCACTGATTAAATTGGCCTAACCCTTGCCATGAATTTGTAAGAAAATAGTCTAGTCCCTAACAGAAAGCAGGCTAGGGAATGTTATCTGCTCTTCAGTGGTTCCTTGCTGAAAGGGGCAAATGGTACACATGGGGAAAGTGTTAAACCTGAAGTCTACCAACTCTTCCAGCACTCTTGCAAACTGAAAGCATTTCTAATGCTATGGCTGATACAAATCAGACCG